ATGGCATGGGACGACAGAACCATGGGATCTTGATCAAGTCCATTATCCATTCCACCACAATCCACTTTAAGTGCCAAATGGTGCATTTCCAATTTGAAATATCCAACTTCCATTATTTCAAACCCATGCTGCGACTATATGCCAGATAATGCATACTTTCTATGTATCTTATTGACGACTAGCCTTAATCGAAAGTTCTTTCTCGTGATCAGGAGGTGGAATTAACTATAGGGGCTTGCGCCTATAGGAATCCAGAACTCAGATCATAAAGTCCTTGCAAAATGAGGGCGAAATCTCTGGGCAGTGGAGGCCAGGGCTGAATTTTTGGATCCCACAATATTGCTTGTTATTTTTTCCCACATAACATTAATTTCTTTATTTACAATTAAAATCTTTAGATCTTGAATCTTGCTATTAAAAATATTTTTGTTATTGTTCCTTTAAGACCCCCATCTAATTCTAGGATATATTTTATTTTATTTTTCATATTCCACAAATTTATCTTAAAGTTCAAAATTAATAAGCGATGTTCTAAATATAAACTTTCACTCAGAATAGTGTTACAATCTTTTACAATCTAAACGATCTATTTTTCTTATAAGAAATTAATTAATCTGAGTTTTACTATATTTATCATTATAAGTGATGAGATGCTCATCTCTTTTTTTTTTAATAATGTATTAGCAATTTTAAAATAATAAATTAGAGCAAAATCTAATATTTTTCTACCAGCTTCATTAGTCATTCCAAAATCATAGCTACCATGAATATTTTTAAAATTTTCTACCACTTTACTAATATGTCTATTTAAATTTCCTCAAATAAACTTTTTTCTCAAGAGATATCATTTATTTTGATTCTTCCAAGTCATTCCAAAGTTCTAATTTTGAACATATATCTAAACCTACTTAACCAAAAACATAAATTATAATAATTTGGAGATTAAAATTATTCACTTATCTATATAGCAGTGTTAATCAATTCTCGAAACCGAGTATCTATTTTTCCCCCCAAAAATGTCATCAAAACCCAAATCGTTGTCTTCCTAGCTCCTCCTTTTGGGTTGTACATATACCAACATAGAGAGATAACCCAGAACCATATATATATATATAAAGTTTTTTGTTCTTCTAATTCTTGTTTTTATAGAATCTAGTAAGTAAAAAGTGAAGAAATTGCTTAGGAGGAATTGAATTAAAATTTTATTTTTTTATATATTTTTTATTTTATTTTATTTTTGTTTTTTTTTACTTGGAATTAAATCTATATGTTTTTTGTTTTTGGTTTTATTTTTTTATATATTTTTTATATATTTTATTTTTTTTTTGTTTTTTTACTTGGAATCTTTATATAATATATACATTATAGGAGAACAAAAAAAAAGACATTTAATCAAATTAATTATAATAAACTGAAGAGAGTCTAGTTGATTCTAATAATTATATCCCACAAATCTTCGAATCAGAAGAGGAAGCCCACAGCTGCAACCAACAAATTGTTGATCTGTCAAAATCGTGGTCCCCCTCGCCGTGTGATTCAACACCCTCCTCAAGTTGGGTTGTGCAGGTTGTACAATCCTAACTTGCAAACAAACTTATTAAGTAGAGAGCCCGATAGTGCCTTTGTTAGAACGTTGGTAAGTTGTTCATGAGTTGGCGTATATACTACAATTTCTAAGTTCTCTATTTTCTCAAGTATAAAGTGTCTATCAATGGTAACATGTTTTGATCTTTCGTAATTTACTGGATCCTTGGCCATACAGATTGCGGTTTTATTGTCACATTTCAACTTTATCATGCCTTCAATCTTTATTCCTAGTTCAATCAATACTTGTCTTATCCAAATGCCTTCACAAATAGTAACTGCTAATGCTCTCAATTTAGATTTTACAACATATTTTTTTTTGCTCCTCCATATCACTAGGTTCCCCCACACAAATGAACAATATCCTGTGGTGCATTGAGTGTCAACCTGACTTCTTGCCCAGTTTGTATCAAAATAAAGGATCAATTTCCTATATTCATTTTTTTTGAATAATAGTCTATTTTGATCAATTTCCTATATTTATTTTTCTTGAATAATAGTCCATTTCCAGGAGTGTTCCTAAGATATCTCAAGATTTGATGTACTACCTCCATGTGCTCCATAAGATTACTCATATATTGGCTCACCATGATCATAGTAAACCCAATATTTGGACGATTGTGGGAGAGGTATATAAGCTTTCTTACCAGACGTTGATATATTCCTTTATCTATTGGAAACCCGTCCTTTTCTATCCCAAGATCTTCTTAAGATCCATAGGTGTACTAGTTGGTCTGCATCCCAGCAGGCCGGTCTCCTTCATTAAGTTTAAGGTATACTTATGTTGGGAAACAAATATACCTTTGCTTGATCGAGCTATCTTTATACTAAGTATCTTAGTGATCATAGATCTTTAACTTCAAACTCTTTGGACAAAGCCTGTTTGATCTTCATTATTTCCTTTATATTATTTCCGGTAAGGATGATGTCATCCATATTTACAATTAGTAATGCTACATTGTTTCTTTCTACCTTCTTTACAAATAAGGTATGGTCTGTCTGGCATTGTCTAAAACTATGGCCTTTTACGTACTTTGAGAATTTTCTAAACCATGCTATAGGAGACTGCTTTAATCTATATAAGGATTTCAACAGTTTACACAGTTTGACCCTTCCATAAGACTTATGAACCCATTGGAATCTTCATGTAGACTTTTTCTTTCAAGGTTTCATTCAAGAATGCATTCTTGATATCTAGTTGATGTGGGGGCCAATTTAAATTTGCTGCTAAGAAAAGAAGAATCCTGATGGTGTTAAGCTTTGCAACAGGAGCAAAACTTTTCTAATAGTCTATTTCATAAGTCTGAGTGAATCCTCTTGCAACCAGTCTAACTTTTAGCCTCCCAACACTACCATTCTCCTCGTGCTTTACGGTGAACACCCGTTTGTAGGTCACAACTTTTTTTCCTGGTTGGAGATTTGTAATTACCCCTATTTAATTTTTCTACAACAACAACAACAACATCAAGCCTTTATCCCACTACGTGGGGTCGGCTACATGAATCCTTTTTCTCCATTGTGTTCTATTAACACTGCCGTTGCCAGGTCCCAAGTCCTGGATGAGAAAAGTGGAGGGTTGCGTTAGGTAGTCGACAGCCAGCGTAAAACTTATCGAACAATAATGACATGAATCCCTATTTAATTTTTCTCCAAAGCAATAGTTTCTTCTTTAATAGCCTGTCTCCATCCTGGGTGATTCAAAACTTCTTGAATATTTGTCGAAATCTACACATCATCCAACTTGGAAAGGAAGACTTGATAAGTGTCTGATTATTTACTATAGGAGATAATGTTTTCAATTAGATGCTTGGTGCATGATTCTTTCTAGCCATTTTATGACTCAATCTTCTGGTTAAGTGCATGATCTCCGGGACATTTCCATTGATACTGTTCAAACATATCTAATTGTTGTCAATAACGGGTTAGAGTATTAAAATATTGAGTTACTGTCATGTCTTCTTACTGGCAGTCGCGAATGATGGTCTCAATTGCGAAAAGCTCAAAAGTGTTGTCGGAACTAGATTAAGTCTCTTTAATGGTCTCCAATATTTCTTGGGTCATCTCCTAAAGAAGAAAGTTCTCACCGATTTCTACATTCATGGAGTTGATGAGCCAAGACATGATATGATGATTCTCTAGTTTTCATTTTTTGTAGACAGGATCGGTTTGCGGTGGCATTGGGGCTTTACTAGTGAGATAGTCCTTTTTCTCTCTCCTGCAAATAAACATTCTCACCAATTGAGACCATTGCGAAAATTTTTGCCTATTAAATCTGTGGTTTGTGATTAGAGATGGAAAGAAGAGTTGTATGCAGATCCATAGTTTTTGCTGTTTAGATCGGTGATATTTGGGTAGGATGATGAGATATCGCTATTCATGGACATGGTTGGGTTTCTTTGGTTGAAAGTGAAGATGAATTTTGGGCAAGGGCTACCCGTGCTTGAAGAGAGGCTATCGGTAGATGATGGAGAGTTATCGCCAGCTGAAGGTTGGAAGAAAGAGAGGAAGGTTTGCCATCGGCACATAGATAAGGCTTAGGATTTTCCTAAGCTTTGATACCATGAATAAATTATTTAGGGGAAATTGAATTCAAATTTTATTTTTTGAAGTGATTATATATATATATATATACTCTCTTGGAGAATAAACAAAAAAAATGACATTTAATTCAATTAATTATAATAAACAGAAGAGAGTCATTTAATCTAATTGATTCTAATAATTATATCCCCCGGATCTTGGAGTCAGAAGAGGAAATCTTCAATTGTAGCTCATGGTTACAGCCCACGGATTGCTGATCTGTCAAAGTCTTGGGCCCCCTCGCCTTGTGATTCAACAAAAGGAAAGATTTGTTATGACACTTGTGAGATGGACAACGGATGAAAATCAAAATGTCCATATTTGATTTCCTTAAAAAAATGAATAAGTAAACGTACTTAACCTTGAAATGCGATTTTCTTGGCAATGTTGTGAGGCCTTGCTCTGCGTATATATCTGCTTTAGCTTAATACAGTGGATCAATGATATGCACACGAGTTGCATACTAGCTGGGCTCATATATTTCTAGTTTATACTGCCTTGATTACATGACGTTGCTCGTTTATTCTGGAGATAGACGCTGTTACTTTTGACATGGTTATGTTTAGTATGTTTTGTGTAAATCACAAGGCTTCAAAACTTGGAAGTTAAAATTGAAACTTTAAATCACCGTTTTTAATTATTCCCAGAAGAAACGGTAAATTTCTTAAATCTGTGCTGTCCCTCAAACATGTCAATTTATATGGCACCAACATTACGATGGACTGAAGGAACAAATGTAAATAGTTGGTTATATTTTTAATCTTAATTTGTATTTGCTTCAAGTTCTGTTCAATATCCTGATAACTTTTCTGAGAGTTTGTTTAATAATGCTGTAGGAAACGGGTTATTTCCATTAAAGATGGCTGAAAAAAGGAACGATTTAAATTTTCTTGGACTGGAAATCAATAATAAGGTATATTTATCCCTTTCTGTTGAATCATGACTTTGATACTTCCATACAACTACCTAAATATAGTCATCATCAATTTATGCAGCTTGTCATGCATTGTCATGATGTCATGCTTAACTGCAACAGAAAAAATGTGTAAGGTTTCTCTGAACTAGATTTCAACTATACCGTTTAATAGTTTATTGAGGATTTCTTCTTTTATTTCATAGTTTGTTCTTTATTCTGGATAAACTGTGCTATCCGGATTTCGTGTTAATCAGTCAATTTTTTTTGTGTGTCATATATTAACAAGGTTGGTTTATATATTAACAAGGTTGGTTTGCCAATTGCACTGCTAACTTGATAAGTATTTGGTAAGGTGTACAAATGTCATGTTATTCACACACATTTTATGTGAAATGCAAATTTGTATATCGTGATTTGCTGAAGGGTATTGCTAACTTAGTTTGGGCGTGGTACTATAATCATGTTCTTTAGTTTATGAATCTTGTTTAATTTATAGTTTAGAAAAGTTTTTTTCATTATCCTATAATTTTATACCAGTTTGCCACATTGGTCAACATGCCATCGTGGTGGGTAGTGTATCTAAGTTTTTAAATGTTAATCATGATGTGCTCGTGGATTTAATACTGATATTCCTTTTTTTACTGAAATAATCATCTTTGTGAGCCTCATCCAAACATTTAATACTTATATTTGGGGGGGGGGGTGGTTTGGGGGTTGAATTTATTATGGTTTTGGCTTGCAGCATTGTCATTTTTTTTTTTGTTCCAACTTTTTTGGGTTGGATTGATGGTGGTCTCTTTTGGACGTGACCTTTTCACAATAGTAACCATGGTACCTTTGATCTACACCTCTTTCCTGCATGTTACATTTGCATTAATTTAATACACATATTTATATTTGATGAGTACAAATATTAATATTTAATGGGCTTCATTGGTCTTTAAGAGTATGAGTTAAGTTCTCTTTTGGAGAAGCCCAAGTGTCACAACAATTCAAGCAACACTTAGTCTAAAGCTCAATTATGTGAGCACAATTAATTTGTCATGTCAAAATTGCTTAGATAACTATATTGTTAAAAGATTGCATGATAAATTTTAATTACATTTATTGAAACTATAAAATATTTTCATTGGTTAAGATAGGTTCACTTGCAATGTTTAAAATTGCGTAATCGGGTATTGAGGCGTTTTTCGTTCTTGAGGCAAGGTGTAAGCCTCAAGGCTTTTTGAGGCGTTAAGTCTCAAAATTAAAAAATTGCGTAAAGAAAATGATAAATTTTGTATATACTAATGAGTAAATAATATATAAAACATAAAAATGCACTAGATATGAAGTGAAATCAAAATATCCCAATAATAAGACAACATGAAATATAGTTCAACTCAAACTCCATCTTTCCCAAATCACAATATTCTTTTCATTAACATATAATTCCATAAATAAATAGCAATGAGATATCACATAAGAACTCATTAGTCATCAGCACTGTCATCACTAAGGGGGTCTTCATTTGAATCATCATTATGATTAACTGCTCTCTCTCCTTCCTCTTCTCCTATAGAGTCCAATGTCTCCCAATCAGGTCCTTCCTCAATATCAGTTATCTTCCTCTTCTCTAAACATTTTTGAACAATCTCAAAATAAATAATAGTGTAATACATTAATTAAAGTCTAAGAAGACTATATTATTTATATAACTTTTTTGATTTGTTTTTGAGTTGTGGTGGATGTAGATGTTTTAAGACCATCAAAGAAATCAACATTTAAATATTCATCTTGTAATTCAGATAGCATGCAGGAAATCACTCATCATCAGATGCCACATCTTCGCAAAACAAAGGATTTTCATCTTCCATTAATTCTTTTTTTTTTTAAATTCCTATCTTTGAGTCTCCTATTGTACATAATATACACTAGTGAATTCATCCTCAATGTGGACAAGCGATTTCTCCTCTTTGTATGCACTTGGTTGTAAGTACTTCAATTTCTTTCATAGCTAGATGAAGAGCGTGTCAAGCCCAAAACTTTCATAACAAAATGCTGCAATTCTGGAGTCTCATCGCCAAATTGAATCCACCACTCAGCTAACGAGTCACGGGGTCAAGGGGCAGCGCCCCTGCAGGGGTTTCCGGCGATAGCACCCCCGGAACAAATTTTTATTGTAAGAGTGAAAGCACGGTGAAATTGTATTAAAAGCGCAGCAAAGCGCACCAAAAGCGCACTAAAAGCGCAACCAAAAGAGCAGTGAAAGCGCACCAAAATTGAAGCAAAAGCGTAGTGAAGCAAAAACACAATGACAATGGTAGACAGACTGATGTGGAGTCTTACTCAGCAGAATATGGAGGTCCTTATTGCAGAACCACGAAGAAGAAGAGCTTTCAGCGGTTGGTCGAAGGAGATTCTAGCCCAACTCGCGTTAGAAGATAACTCCAAGCAATAGGCGAAGAGCAACTCACGATGAAGGAAGTTGACGCCGAACGAAGAGGGAAAAAGGTCGCTCGAAGAAGAAGGGAGAAAACCTATTTTCGGAAAATGATGGAAGACCTCGTGAGGGTTAGTGATTCCGAACCGAACAAATATATATTAGGTTAGTTTTTTTTTTTAATTTTTAGAGACGGACACCTCTAAACCTTGAGGCGAGGCTCGCCTCAGTAAACATGAGGCGTACACCTCAAATCCTGAACTCATTGCGTAGGCTTTGAAGCTTAAAGGGGCGAAATTTTGCTGAGGCGCTCCTCTTATTGCGTAATTTTAAACCGTGTTCACTTGTAACCATTGAAAACAAACAAAAAAGGTTCATAATGAGTGGTCAACCACATTTAGAGCATATCATATTGGTGAATATTGTTGCAACTTAGTTTTCATAACTATATTTTCATATCATGTGTGTTTTTAATGATTCCAAAATATTATTGTATTGATTATTGTTTCTCCTAACATATATTGAAAATATTATTTTTGTTGTTTATGTGTACTAACGTTTTAGAGAAATCATACTCCAGACAGTTGAAGACATCTAGACAGATTAGACTAGGATTAATTGTATTTGAAGTCTGTACTTTTTATACTTTTCTTGAGTCTGAGAGAGTGTGATTGTAATTGGGTAACCGTGCACACACACACTGGGGGAGTAAAAAATTGTAATTTTTAAAACTAATTGCACTGTATGATTTTAGATCGTACGGGATGATATGGCTTGAGTGTTCCTCCAGAAAGCAGTTAATCGAACCATGCTAGGAAAATTTTCGAGGTCTTGTCCTTACTGCATGAAGTTAAACTGTATGAAGTTACCTTCATACAGAAGACGTCTAGAGTACGAGATAGATACATACAAGTTCGTTTCGACTAACTCTAATTTTTTTCTGAACTGTTTGTATTTTATGATCTTAGGCTCATATAGACGATGTCTAAAGTACAAAATGGTTGCGTATCTTTTCGTCCATACGAACATATAAATTTTTTAAATTGTTCGTATTGTACGATTCTAGGATCATACAGACGACTTCTAGAGTACGAAATGGACTCGTCCATTTTCTTACCAAGCAAACATGGTTTGATTAAAACATATTGTATTGTGAAACTATATATTGTATAATACGTTATCCGGAATATGAAATCGGTTCGTACTGAATCATGTTAGATGAATCTATTCAATTTTGTACTGATCGTATTGTACGATGTCAGTTCGTACACATGTCAATCAGAGTATGAAATCGGTTTGTATTGGAATGTACGAGCAAATTTTAAACTATTCATACGTACGATCTTCAATCGTATCGAATGATCATGGATAGTCAAATTGAAATTTTCAATTTTCCGGATAATTTTTCGTGCCTTATGTATAAAATATCCCAAAATTTGACTGTGAATGTATACTTCATCATTTTTTTCTTTGAGAGTAAGTGTGAGAGTGCTTTGGGAGTGTTTGAGTGCAGAAAAAGATCTTGCAAGTTTTTGTGAAGGATTCATAAGGTTGCCCAAAGGTGAGGATCTCGTTGTAAGTATTGTCGAATCTCTTCCTTACTTCTTTGAAGTTGCTCGAGAGAAGATCTTTGGAGAAGATCCGGTTTTCTGCCGACACCTAGAGGGTGTGAAAAGACGACAGTTCTCTGCCGACACTAAGAGGGTGTGAAAGGATGACGGTTCTTTGCCGATACTAGGAGGGTGTGAAAGGACGACGGTTCTCTGCCAACACTTGGAAAGTGTGAAAGGACGACGGTTCTCTGTCACACCGGGGATTGGTTGAAGAGAGGTGATTTGTAAAAGCTTCTCCGCATTACTCTGAGAGCATAAGGAGAGTCACTTTGGTAATAGTGCAATACCTGAAAAAAGAGTATTCAGGGAGTGAATGTAGGTCTAGTTGGACCTAACCACTATAAATTTCTGTGTTTTTATTTTATCGCAGTTTTATTTTTCTGCATGTTTTATTTTTGTGGTTGAAAAGTTTTAGTTTGATAAAAATTTTCATTGTGCTAAATTTTTAAAATGATTTTCTATAAAATTTCTAGGAGGTTTTTGTAAAATTATCAATTCACACTCCTCTTGGTTAGTATTGGGACAATTGCTTTAGGTCTAACAATCGATATAGACTTTCAAATGGTATCAGAGCTTACTTTCGAAAATTAAGGTTTAGACAACTTTTTGAAGACAATCATGACTACTTTTGGAAATCGTAACGCACCTGAAGGGTTTTCGATCACTAGACCTCCCTTGTTTGATAAAATCCTTTTCGATTTTTGAAAAACACGTATGTTTATTTTTCATCATTCGCTTGAGCATCTGATGCATGCAAAGGGGGAGTCAAAATAATATGAGAATTTGTTTTGACCCTTGGGCTACTGGTGCTCTCGGTTTGGGCCTTGTTTGCTTTGATTTGGAGCTAATTTTTGGGATCTACTTGGTTCTAGCTCATAAATGCTTAAGTTGTGACTTTAGCTCATTAATTCAAAAAGGTTTATCTACTAATTTCAGCTCATTATGTGTGAAAAAGTTTGGCTTTTCCCCTTCCCCATGTTGCCTTCTCGGTTTCCTCCTTGCCCTCTCAATTTCCTCTTGGCTTTTGCTGTTCCCGTGCTTTGCCCCTTTGTTTCCTGTGCTGGTTGGTTTCCCGTGCTTTGTCCCCTTTGTTT